CCCAAATATAATGCATTTTTATTAATTGTAGTCCTCATATTGTACATTCAATCTCTAGATTTGTTCATCCTACAAATATGCAACTCTGTATCCTTTGACCTACATCTCCCATTTTCTCCTCTCTCCTCATACCCCTGATAACCACTGTTTTATTCTCTGTGTATATTTGACTGTTTGTTTTTAGATTCCTCGTGTAACTTAGATCATGCAGTATTTGTTTTTCTGTTCCTGGCTTATTTCACTTAGCATAATGTCCTCTAGGTTCATTGATATTATGGCAAATGGCAGAATTTCCTCCTTTTTAAAAGCTGAATAATATTCCACTGTGGTATATGTGTATATACACATATATATCACAGTTTCTTATATTCATACACTGACAGATATACCTAGGCTGTTTCCATATCTTGGCTTTTATGAATAATGCTGCAATAAATATGGGAGTGCAGATGTCTTTACAAGGTGGTGATTTCATTTCCTTTGGATACATACACAGAAGGCAAAAGGATTAAATTAGACTCTCATCTCATACCATATACAAAAATCAACTCAATTCAGATAAAAAAAACTTAAACATAACATCTGAAACATAAGACCTTCTAAAACTACGAGAAGAAAACTGAAGAGGAAAGCCTCATAACATTGGTCTGGACAAATATTTTTTGTATATAACTTCAAAAGCATAAATTATCAAATGGAATTACATCAATCTAAAAAGCTTCTGCACAGCAGAGAAACCAATCAACAGAATGAAGAGAAAACCTACACAATGGGAGAAAATATTTGCAAGCCAAGGGCTAATATTCAAAATATATAAGAAATTCAAACTCAATAGCAAGGAAACATATAACCCAATTTAAAAAATGGGCAATGGATCTAATTATACATTTCTCCAAAGAACATAAAAATGGCCAACAGATATATGAAAAGATAAACATCACTAATAATCAGGAAAATACAAATCAAAACTACTATAAAATACCACCTAACACCAGTTAGGATACCTACTATCAAAAAGACAAGACATACAATTAAGTATTGGAAAGGATGTGGAGAAAAAGAAACTCTTGTACACTGATAATGGGAATGTAGATTAATGCAGCCATTATGGAAAACAGCATGGAAGTCCATAAATTAAAAATAGAATGAATACTTCTTAATTTATTATATGTTGTTAGAAAATGTCCTGAGTGCTACAATGGTCATTTTTAAGTTTTGACCATTTTTATCATTGCTTTTGGGGGAGAGAAGTTGCCAAGATCCTCACTGTGCTTTTCCAGAAGTCTCAACTCCAGATTCGCAAGGCTACACTTTGGGATTCGTTAGTATAGTGAGCTATGAAGTTGTACAATTTGTGTTCATATCCTAGCTCTACCACCTAATGATTAGTATATCTTGCAAAGTTACTTAACATCTCTGATCCTTAGTTTTCTTGTCTTTAAAATGAGAATGATTATGCCAGTGGAAGTCAATGGGAAGAGTATAGGTACACCATTTTTAAGAAAATCATTAGTGAAATGCAAATCAAAACGACAATGAGATAACCAGGTGACCCCAGTGAGAATGGCCTGTATCAAGAAATTCCAAAACAACAAATGCTGGTGAGGATGTGGAGAGACAGGAACATTCTTATACTGCTGGTGGGACTGAAAATTAGTGTAACCTTTGTAGAAAAGAATTTGGAGATACCTCAAACAGCTAGAAATAGAAATATCATTCGACCCAGCAATAGCTTTGTTAGGCATCTACCCCAAAGAGCATAAGACATTCTATTATAAAAACATCTGCACCCATATGTTTATGGCAGCACAATTCACTATTTCAAGGACATGGAAGCAGCCCAAGTGCCCATCAATTTATGAGAGGATAATCAAAATTTGGTATATGTTCACAATGGAATATTACTCAATTCTAAGAAACAACAGCAAGCTAGCACCCTTGTACTGTCCTGGATTAAGCTTAAGCCCATTATCCAAAGTAAGGCGACACAAGATCAGTAAAATGGGCTCCACATGTACTCGCCATCAAATTGGTACTGATTAAAACTATGGTGCCTGAATGGTGATAGTGTTCACCAGAGATTTGGGGCGGGGATGGGGGGGTAGACCCACATCTTAGGGATCTGGTCAGCATTGTGGAGGGGAAGAGCATACCTCAAACCCTTCTTAGGGAGAGGCAAAGATATAAAATGTAACCAAAATGTAAAAAAAACACTTTTATTGGGTGGCGGGTGGGTGGGGCGGGGGAAGGGGATGGGTGTATACTTACATAATGAGTGTGAAGGATGGACACGCTTGAAACTCTGACTCAGCGGGGCAGGGGGGGTGGCAAGGGCAATATATGTAACCTTAACAATATTTTTACCCCCATAATATGATGAAAAAAAAAGAAAAAGAAAAGAAACTGTTACTTAATATCTTATAATGGGATAAACCACAATTTATTCAGCTGTTCCCCCACTTCCCGAAATGATAGACATTTAGTCTTATTTTCTAATATTTTTGCTATTATAAACAACACTATTATGAATATATTTATGTGCTCCTCCACGTGTGTAACAATTTCTATAAAATAAATACTGAGAGGTGAATTTCTTGGTCAAACAATAAATACACAGTTTTTATTATTTTTATAGAAACTTCCTGATTGCCATCTAGTGTGACTTTAACAATTTATACTCCTACTGCTAAATGTTTGAGCATATGTATTTCCCCACATCCTTACTTTATTTTATTTTATTTTATTTTTTTGAGACAGAGTCTCACTTTGTTGCCCAGGCTAGAGTGAGTGCCATGGTGTCAGCCTAGCTCACGGCAACCTCAAACTCCTGGGCTCAAGCAATCCTACTGCCTCAGCCTCCCGAGTAGCTGGGACTACAGGCATGTGCCCCCATGCCCGGCTAATTTTTTCTATATATATTAGTTGTCCAATTAATTTCTTTCTATTTATAGTAGAGACATTATCTCGCTCTTGCTCAGGCTGGTTTTGAATTCCTGACTTTGAGCGATCCGCCTGCCTCAGCCTCCCAGAGAGCTAGGATTACAGGCGTGAGCCACCGTGCCCGGCCTCCCCACATCCTTAAAAACACTCATTTTAATCGAATTTTTAAAATGTTCCTGTTCTGATGTATATAAAATGGTATCCCATTTTGGTTTCAACACACATTCCTTTGATTACTATTAAGCCTGGGGGCAATTCATATGTTTATTGGTCACTTTTGGTTAACTTTTCTATTGACATCACTCACCCATTTTTCTGTTAGAACTTTATCTTTAATGACAAGGATTATATGCTGGGTATTAATCCTTTTATGTTATGAAATTTTTCCTGTTACTTACTTTTAAGTTTGTTTTTATAGTATTTATAAAACAGAAGGTTTTTATTTCCATGTAGATAAATTCATCTTTTATGCTTTTGTGTCATATTAAAACAGAATTTCCTACCTCAAGGTTGTCAACATATTTTTTTAATATTTATGTTTCATTTTATTAGAAATTTACTTTTCTGAATGATATCAAGCCAGAATTTATTTTTCTTTTCTTTGGTAAATTCTATCTTCTTTTATTTACCTTTTTAAAATGAGTAACCTAGTTTTTGATGTTTTTTGCACCTTTTCATTATGGTATAACCTCAAACTAACAGAAAATTTGCCATAATAGCACAAGGACCTCCTGTATATACTGTACCCTACCCATGTTTCCTTTCTTAAAATTTGGTATATGTATACAATGGAATATTACTCAATTATAAAAAACGACAGTGATCTAGCACTGCTTATATTTTCCTGGATTGACCTTAAGCCCCTTATCCAAAGTGAGGTGACACAAGATCAGAAGAATAGGCTCCACACGTACTCGCCATCAAATTGGTACTGACTGATAAACACTATGGTGCTCAAATGGTGGTGGTGGTGGTGTTTTCCAGGGATTAGGGGGTTGGGGGGTAGACTCACAACTGAGGGATGTGGTGAGCATTGTGGAGGGGAAGGGCATACCTCTAACCCTACCTGGAGAGAGGGAAAGATATAAAATGTAACCAAAATGTTTGTACTTTCATATTTTTCTGAAATAAAAAAATACTTGAATAGTTTTATGTTCCAAATTTAGAACTCTTACATATTTTGAGTTTATCTTAGTGACCTGGTGAAACATGAGATATGGACACAAATTTATCTTTTTCCAAATAGCTATCTAGTTGTCCTAACACCATTTATTTAAAAATTCTTTTCCCCAGTGATTTTTACTGTCACTTTATTACATACCAGATTTCCATATGCATTTAAGTATATTTTTGGGTATTTATACTCTTCCATTGTTTTATATGTCTATTCCCATACCAACATCACACCATTTTAATTATAGAATTTCTGTAGCAGCAATCCCCAAGCTTTTTGGTACCAGGGACCGGTTTTATGGAAGACAGTTTGTCCATAGACCAGGTGTGGGGATGGTTTGGGGATGATTCAAGTGCATGACATTTATTGTCCAGTCAAACCTCTCTGCTAATGATAGTCTGTGTTTGCAGCCACTCCCCAGCACTAGCATCACCGCCTCAGCTCCACCTCAGATCATTGGGCATTAGAGTCTTATATGAAGCACACGGACTAGATCCCTCATATACATGGTTTACAGTAGGGTTCATGCTCTTATGAGAATCTAATGCTGCCATTGATCTGACAGGAGGCAGAGCTCAGACTGTGATGTGAGTCATAGGGAGTGGCTGTAAATACAGATGAAGCTGGCTGTTCCACCACTCACCTGCTGTGCTGCCCAGTTCCTAACAGGCTACAAACTGGTACTGGTCCGTGGCCTGGGGGTTGGGGACTGCAGTTCTATAGTACATTTTAATATCTGATAAGGAGAAAATTCCTCCCCTCCCCCTTATTGGTCTTATTTCTTTCTTGGTAGAAGACTTTTTAAAGAAAGTTTTCTGGCTACAGATTTTTTTAAGTTTTCTTAATAATTTTTTTTTTTTTTTTACGAATGTGATCTTTTCCCTAGAACTGCAATATGCTAACACTGTGATGTGCTTTGATTATGTCTGGCTTCAAGACAACTGCTGCTCAGCATCTTGCTACAACTCTAAGACTCACCAGCACAGCATGGACATTGCAAGTGTGGATTTATGTATCAAGCCAAAGACCATTCGTCTGGATGAGACCATGCTCTTTTTTACTTGTAAGTGGACAGAAGGCTTGGTCTTCTTTGGTGGTATTCTTCTAAATAACAATTATTTTGTGAAAAATGATATGCCCCTTTCCAAAATTGGTTATTCTTTTAGATACTTTTTTCTTTTTTCCTTGCTTTGGAAGCATTTTTGGAACCTTTTATTTTTCTCTTCAAATAAAATTTTAATCCACAGCTAACATTATACTTAATGATGAGACTGAATGCTTTCCCTCTGAGATAGGGACATGCCAAGGATGTCTGTTCTCACCACTCTTATTTAACATAGTACTGAAAGTTCTAGTCATTACAATAAAGCAAGAAAATGAAATAAAATGCTTACATATTAGAAAGGAAATATCTCTTCATTTGAAGATACATCACTGATTACATAGTCTACCTTAGGTAATCTATCATAAAACTGCTACAACTAATAAGTGAATTCAGTAAGATCACAGAATACAAAATCAACACACAGAAATCAATTTCATTTTTATATGAGTACAGTGAATATGCAGAAACTGAAGTGAAAAATGGCTATTTCAATTGCTTCAAAGACATTTAAGTACTTAGGTATAAATCTAACAAAATATATAAAAGATCTATATGATTAAAATTATAAAATGCTGTTGAAAGGATTAAAAGAAGATGTAAGTACTTGGAGAGAGAAACTATGTTCATGAATTGGAAGACTTGATGTCAATATTCTCCAAATCAATCTATAGTTTTAATGCAATTCCTGTCAAAATTCTCAGCAACATTCTTATATAGTTATAAAAAAGCTTGTTCTAAAATATAAATGGAAATGTATAGGCCCTAGAATATCCAACACAATTTTGAAAAAGAATGAAGTGGGAAGAATGACTTCCTGATGTTAAGACTTCAGTAATTAAGACAGTGTGATATTGGTGGAGGGATAGACATATAGATCAATGAAACAGAATAGAGAACCCAGAAGTGGTTACACAGATATATAGATAACTAAGCTATGGCAAAAGTGTAAGCCATTCAATGGAGGACAGATAGTCTATTTAACAATTAGTGTTGGAGCAATTGGACATCCATAGCAAAAAAATAAAAGACCCTCAACTAAAGTCTCACACCTTATACAGAAATTAGCTCAGAATGCATTGTGGACTTAAATGTAAAACATAAAATTTCTAGAAAAGAATGTTGGTGAACATCTTCAGGTCCTGACTGGGGCTAGGCCTAAATAACTCTTAAAATTCAACATATGGGGCATAATATGCTGAAATTAAAAAAAAAAAAATAAAACAAAAATACTCAACATAAAAGAATGTTTTTTCCTTAAATAGGTGTTCTTTTAGTTTTGTTTTCTCTTTAACTTATAGGACACAAAAATTCCTGTATTTTGTCACTTTGTGGTGTCCTATTTTGTCACAAATAATTTTCTCATTCTTTTTTATTCTTTTTTATTTTTGTCTTACTATGTTATTTCAAAAGACCTGTCTTCAAATTCTGAAATTTTTTCTTTTTCTTGATGCAGTCTTTGTCAAAGCATTCAAATGTATTTTATATTTCATTTGATGAATACATCAGGTCCAGAATTTCTTTTTCTTTTTTATTTGAAAAGATTTAGGTGATACAAGTAGTTTTTCTTTACATGGATGAATTGTGTAGTAGTGAAGTCAGGGCTTTTAATGTACCTCTTATGCAAAGAGTGTACATTGTACCCAACAGATAATTTATTTTATTTTATTTTTTTAATTATTCTTCATATTTTATTCTTTTTTTAAAATCTCAATCTTTGTAATGAATGTGTACCAACAGATAATTTTTGATCCCTTATCCTGCCTCCCACCTTCCCATATTCTGATTTTCCCAAGTGTATGATACCACTCTGTAAATGATGTATACCTATTATTTATCTCCCACTTATATGTGAGAACGTGTGGTATTTGTGTTTCCATTCTTTAGATATTTCACTTAGGATAACGGTTTCCAGTTCCATCCAAGTTTCTGCAAAAGTCATTATTCCATTCTTTTTTATGGCTGAGTAGTATTCCATGGTGTATATAGGATGTATGTGTATATACGGTGTATATATGATATATGTATCGTATATACACCATAGTATAATATAAGCCACATTTTCTTTATACACTCATTAACTAATGGGCGCTTAGGTTGATTCCATATCTTTGCAATTGTGCTGTAATAAAAATAAAAGTGCAGATATCTTTTTGACAGGATGTCTTCCTTTTGGTATATACCCAGTAGTGGGATTACTGGATTGAATGGTAGGTCTACTTTTAGTTCTTTCAGGAATCTGCATACTGTTTTCATAGAGGTTGTACTAATTTCCATTCCCACCAACAGTGTATAAGCATTCCCTTTTCACTGCATCAGTGCCAACTTCTATAGTTTTTTAACTTTTTAATTATGACCATTCTGACAGGGGTAAGGAAGTTTCTCATTGTGCTTTTAATTTACATTTCCCTTTTGATTAGTGATGTTGAGCATTTTTTCATATGCTTGTTGTCCATTTGTATATCTTCTTTTGAAAAATGTCTGAATATTGGCTCCCAATCTGCAGATTGTCTATTTACTTTGTTGATTATTTCACTTGCTGTTCAGGAACTTTTTAATGTAATTAATTACCATTTATTTACTTTCTTTTTTGTTATATTTGCTCTTGGAGTTTTAGTCATAAATTCTATGCCTAGGCCAATGTCCAGTTCCTAAGTTTTCTTCTAAAATTTTTATGGTTTGCGGTCTTGCATTTAAGTCTTTAGTCCATCTTGAGTTAATTTTTGTGTATGGTAAAAGATAGGGATCCAGTTTTATTTTTCTGCATGTGGCTCTTCAATTTTCCAAGCACAATTCATTGAATAGGGCTTCCTTTTTCCACTGTATATTTTTGTCTTTTTTGTCAAAGATCAGTTAATTGTAGGTATATGGATTTATTTCTGGGTTGTTTATTCTGTTCCATTGATCTAGGTGTCTACTTTTATACCAGTGCCATTCTGTTTTGGATACTCTACCCTTGTAGTATAATTTGAAGTTGGATAATGTGATGCCACCAGATTTATTCTTTTTGCTTAGTATTCCTTTAGCGATTTGGGCTCTTTCATGATTCCATATGAAATTTATGATTGTTTTTTATAATTCTGTGAGAAATGATGATATTTTGATGGCAATGATATTGAATCTGTAAATCACTTTGAGCAGTATGGACATTTTAACAATATCGATTCTTCAATTCCATGAGCATTGGATATTTTTCCATTAATTTGTATAATCAACAGTTTCTTTCATAAGTGTCTTCTAGTTCTTCTTGTAGATGTCTTTCATCTTTTTGGTTAAGTATATTCCTAGATATTTTTTGCAGCTATTGTAAATAGTAGTCAATTCTTGATTTGATTCTCAGCTTGGCTGTTTTTAGTGGGTTGAAAGGCAACTGATTAGTGTGCATTAATTTTGTGACCTGAGACTGTACTGAATTTATTTATCAATTCTAGGAGTCTTTGGTGGAATCTTTAGGACTTTCTAGATACAAGATCATATAATCAGCAAACAGGGATAGTTTGACTTCTTTTATCATTTGGATGCACGTTATTACTTTCTCTTGCCTGATTGCTCTGGCTAGGACTTTCAGTGCTATGTTGAATAGAAGCGGTGAAAGTGGGCATCCTTGTCTTGTTCCATTTCTTATGGGAATGCTTTTAATTTACCCCATTCTGTATGATGTTGTCTGTGGGTTTCTCATATGTGACTTTTATTATTTTGATATATGTTCCTTCTATTCCTAGTCTGTTGAGAGTTTTTATCATGAAGAGGTGTTGGATTTAATCAAATGCTTTTTCTGCATGTATTAAGATGATCATATGGCTCTTGTTTTTAATTGTATTTATGTGGTGAATCACATTTATTGATTTGTGTATGTTGAACCATCTTTGCATCACTGGGATGAAACTCAATTGTGGTGAATTATTTTTTTGATGGGATAATTGGATTCAGTTTAGTATTTTGTTGAGAGTTTGCATTTATGTTAATGATGGATATTGATCTGTAGTTTTCTTTTCTTTGTGTGTCCTCTCCTGGTTTTAGTGTCAGTATGAAACTGGCTTCGTAAGATGAGTTAAGGAGGATTCCCTCCATTTTGATATTATGGAATAGTTTTCATACAATAAGTACCAGTTCTTTATAGATCTGGTAGAATTTGCCTGTGAATTAGTCTGGTCCTGGGCTTTTATTTGTTGGAAGAATTTTTATTACATACTCAATCTTTCTACTCATTTTTGGTCTGTTCAGGATTTCTGTTTCTTCCTGATTCAAGCTTCAGGATTATGATTTTCCAAAAATTTATCCATTTCCTCTAGATTTTCTAGTTTGTATGTGTCAAAGTGTTCATAGTAGTCTCAGGTTATCTTTTATGTTTCTGTGGTATCAGTTGTGATGTCTCTTTTTTCATTTCTGATTGAGCCTATTTGAGTCCTTTCTCTTATGTTCTTGGTTTATCTAGCTAGTAGTCTATCAATTGTGTTTATCTTTTCAAAGAACCAAACTTGTTGTTTTATTGATCCTTTGTATTTTTTTGGTTTCAATTTCATTTCTTTCTGCTCTGAATTGTGCCAGTAAAATTTCTTGTCTTCTGCTAGGTTTAGGTTTATTTTTTTCTTATTTTATCTAGTTCCTTGAGGTGTAGGTTGTTAATTTGTGATCTTTCTGTCTTTGATGTAGGCATTTCATGCTATGAACTTCCTCCTTAGCACTGCTTTTGCCATATCTCAAAGATTTTGCTAGTTGTGTCACCCTTTGCATTCAATTCAAAAAAAATTTTATTTCCACCTTAATTTCTTAGTTAACCCAAAGATCATTTAGCAGCAAGTTGTTGAGTTTGCATGTATTTGTATTGTTTTGAGAGTCCTTCTTAAAATTGACTTCTAGTTTTATTCCACTGTGGTCTATGAAGATACATGATATGATTTTGATTTTTTTAAAACTTGTTGAGGCTTGTTCTATGGCCTAACATATGATCTATCTTGGAA